TATATATATATATATATATATGTATATATGTGTATGTATATATGTATGTATATATAAATGTATTTTTAAAAGAAGGGCATTACAAAAACATTTAGGTTGCAGTCAAACACTCAAGGTAAGAAATAACAGAAGTGAGGTTGCACAGGCATCCTTAAATTCTTCCCCTTCATATCCTAATGCATATGCACAGTCTCTCAATATATACCTCTACCCTGATGTAATGCAGTCCTCGGGAGCCAAAAAAAAATCTCACCACGTTCTATCCAGAGGTACGATCAGGTACGGTGTACGGGCAAGAGCGGTTCTGCATGCCAGACTGGACCAGCTTCCCCAGTGGTGATTTAAAGGGCCCAGTGCTCCAGCTGCTACAGGGAGCCCCGGGCCCTTTAAATCACTGCCCAAGCCCAGCTGCTGGGGCTCCAGCAGCGGGGCTCGGGCGGTGTTTTAAAGGGCCCAGGGCTCCCCGCTGCTTTACCATGTTATATCACGGTAGAGATGTATTATCCCTTTTTCTTTTAGGGCCTCTGCATTATTCAGTACACAGGGTACAAAGGGGCAAAATTAAGATCGCATGGGCAACCTTTTTATTAGTGCTCATCCACTTTGTGTCAAGGTCATTAATGAAAATGTTAAATAAGATTGGTCCCAAAACAGATCCCTGAAGAACATTGCTAGTAACCTTCCCCCAGTCTGACAGGTCACCTTTCTGTATCACCTGTTGTCATGATTCTTTAACCTGTTCCATACCCACCTTTCAATTATCGTATCAATCCCCATCTTCTCCCACATGAAACTCTGTCAAATACCTTATTGAAATCCAGGTAGAGTAGATCTACTGAATTTTGTTTGTCTGAAAAATCAATATCTTAGAGATCTGGTTGGTCTGGTACAATCTACCTTTGGTAAAACCATGTTGTATTTTATCCCACTTACTGGGTCGTTTTTCCTTAAATCCCTGAAGGAAATCATTTCTGATTTCTATGCTTTAACTCCCTATCCCCTCTGACAATCTTCATCAGGACATCACTGTGTACTAGGCAGTGCCTCTCATAGACACTTGAAGGTTATTTTGAGTAGAATTCCCCATCCAGTACATTGACTGAAGAGTAGGAAGTGGGTGTCTCCTGAAAGGGACAACTGTAGTTTTAGGATGTAAAGTTCATCTTTAATTTTGCATTTGAAAATGTGTGTGGAGGGGGGAAATGGATTTTACTGGCTTTGAAACATTGACTCATTGTAGCTTTGTGTAATGGTTTATCTTCTAGGTCTGGTGTGGCGGACTTGCATTGACTACTGGACTGCAGGTGCCGAGTGCTGTGAAAATGCTCCAGAAGAGTGAAAATGGATTGAGTGGTTCAGCTAGCAGCCTAACCAATGTTACCCAATAATGTCTCTTTAGATGCTATACTCCTGTTTCTGAGTGGGTTTTTCTGTGCAGCTGCTATTCACAGGAGCTTGTGAGCAATGGATTAACTGGCTTTGCTACCCACTGCTGCTTTAAGGCCTGGGCACCAATAGTGCAAAGGTTCTGGGCTGAAGCATTAGCAGAAATGTACTGTGAATCCAGAGAGCCAGATAGAAAGCGAGTCTGACTTTTTTTGATGTTTTGGATGGGGAAGTCAGGAGCTGTAGCTATGCGCTTGTATATTAGACTGAATTTGATTGTATTAGATACTTGATCATTTCAGTATAACGGCACATGGCAGGTATGATCTTAGTTTGAAAAGCACTTACTACTACTCACTTTTTCACTCCTTGTTTCCTCATCCTGAAAAGGAGTCCGTTTTGAGGTCCTCAATGGAAGCTTTAAATATGTGACCCTCTGAAGAAACCAGTCCCTCAAATTTCCACATACAGATATGGCATGATGCAAGTTTGAGACTTGAGATGTTCTCCTAGAGTAGCTAATGTGATTGACACAGGTTGGCTACCCTCTGGTATTAGTTGAATAAATAGTGCATTGTTTTGTGGTGGTCTTTAGTTATCTAAATGGGCACAGTGCTGAGTATCCTTTTATAGGCTATTCATAGTTAGAACACGAGCTCAGTAATCCTGCATCACTTCAGTGAAAATTAAGACTTCACATCAATTTTACACCAGTGTTTTCAGAGCATTCCTGATCTTTACTGTGTGAGCCCTCTACTTAGATTATTGGGGAGATATGCATAATAGCGCACTTTCCCCAATGTTACCCTTAATAAGCTTTCAGCTATATTCGATTACTTTTTTAAGCATCCAGCTTGGAGTACGGGTAGGCTTTAGTGCTTCCATGCTTTCTATATTTAAGTGTCTTGTTTTTAATATGCTGTTTAAATAAGATTTTTGTCCTGTTTCAACCAGATTTATATAATTTAAAGTTTTCTAATGAGTTTGAAGTGTGTAAACATGCAAAGATGGTGGTGAGGAGGTGTTTTAAGACTTCAAGAATGCAGCTAAGATAAAGCTTAGTAGATAGAATGAGTGTTGGGCTATGTTGCACTTATGACATTACATTCATTTTAATGAAGAAATAGTACCACTAATTTCACTAAATTGCATAGTATTCATGCACATTAATGTAGCAGATCAGTTTATCGTACTTCATCTACTATATGCACTCTTGCTCCTTTCAAAAAAGCAAGGCATATGAATATCTCTAAAGGTAGACTGGGCAGCACATCACTTACTGCTGAACCCCACCTGTATCACTTCTAACACAAGTAGATGGTGAATAGTAAGAACTACTCACTAGCAAAACGTTGTCTAAATGGAATGAGATTACAAAACTGGAAAGCTATTAGGAGCTTAAAAATACAAGAGCATAATTTAAATGGGTAGGACCACTTTGTGTATCTTTGAAAGCGCTGAATTTTTTTTAGTTCTGAACCCCCCTCAAGCTCTTACCTTTTAAATGCACTGTCCCATCTGAAAGGCTCCCCAAGCAACTCTTTCCTTACTGCCTGCGATCTCCAGAATGAAATAATTCTGGTTGTGCTGACTAGAGGTGGTCACTAAACAATGCTGAGTTTCCTCCTCTCACCCCTTTAATGGGACTGAATGTGTCTACTTTTTCCAGCCCTGGATTTGTCCCCTGAAACTGTTACTAGACCACTGCACCAGCCCTCCTCCTCCTCCTCTCACTTTAATGGTTTGTACTCCTTTGTAAAGATTGCTAATCTAGATTGCTTTTTATAAAATCTGTTTATGGTTCTTATGCTGCTCTGGGAGAGACATATGCTGCACTCAAAGTTTTTAACAAACAACAGAATCACTCTTCAGTATAAGGGATTTTGTTTTATAAATGGAACAGATTCAGACCCCTCCCACAGCAATTTCATATGGATGTCTGCTCTCCATGTACTTCTCCCTATTGAGGCAACCAGTTGCTAATTGAAGATCTTGTAGAGAATATCCTTAGCAGCAAACCTTTGCATATAGTAGCAAAATTATTCATGTTAATGGAGAGAACTAAGAAAACATTTTAGTATTAAAGTCTCAAAGTTTTGTACTAGTGTTAAATCTCTTAGCCACTTTTAATCAATTTCCCTTCCTATTCTAGTCAGGGGTCCCACAAAATGACCTGCAGATGATGGACAATATTGTGACCGATTTTAGTTCTATAATTAAAGGTCTCTTATGGTGCACAGTCACACTAAGACTTTTCTACGAGCATAATGCTGGTGGCTCTGGTGAAATGCCTCCCTTCTTGGGAGTTGAACTGGGGGATATGGGGAGGGGACGATTTGCACTCTGCACATTCAGCCCCTGGAAATGGAGACCTTCATCTAAGTTTAGGAGCACTTCAGGTCTTCCTCTTGAAGGAAAGTAGAGTGAAGAAATCTCATGCAACAACTTTGGAGATCACAGGCAAAATCAGATGTATAAAACAGATTAAATACATAGTTGAATTTGGCCCATGATCTCCAGTGGTGTTGCACAGCATTTGCTACTCCTTTTTAATCAGCTTATCCTCAGTTTCTTACCTTTTTTGGTATTCAGTTCCATATATGAATTGAACATTTTCTCATGGCTTATTTTTCAGGCTTTATAATATGGTTATACAAATCTTTTTTGTGGGGGGAGAGGAAGAAAACAGCTTCCAGTATGTTTTCTCTCCTTTGCTGCATTTCTTGTCCAATTTAAATGTACAAAACTGAAAACAATGCCAAATGATTGGTGAATGGTTTTGTGCTAAATGAGCTCAATAACATCTGAATCAGCTTATTGTCATACTCTGGGACAGTCCATGTTGTCTTAGTAAAGCCATCATCCTAATTACCTTCATTTTTGGAGAATCAGGTTCTTAATGCAGCAATGTGAGCATTCATGAATGTCCAGTGAATTGAGGGAGTGAGGCATGCAGGATGGGGCTCAAAATTGTGATTTCGAAGGGAGGTGTAAGCTTTGTTTCTATTTTGAGACTCTTAAGTTGATGGTAATAAAGGTTAGTTTCTGTTCCTATCTGTCCATCTCTAACTTTTCAATATGGGATAGTTAGCTACAGTTCCTGCTAAGTTTTCCTTAACTTGTAGCATACACTTACTTTTACACAAAGTAAACACATAAGGGGGAAAAAACAGTAACCATTGAGCCAAACCCAAAAATTGAATGCAGATACATAATTTACTTGAACATATTTTATTTAGCAAATTGTAAGGAAACCTGCAAGGCACACTAGATTATCTACAAGATGTAGACAATTGAAATCTCCCCTTCTCCCCCCCCCTCTCCCCCCCAAACTATTATGGTATCTTAGTTTGAAACAAGCTGAAGTATTTAGTACTGTGACTTATGCTGCACGAGGCTTATTTTGATATGAAAGATATAGCTGTTCTAAAGAATAATGTATGGGTTATTTTGCCCTTAAAGTTTGAAGTTACTCTACAGTAGTTAATGCACAAGTGCTGGATTTTTGCTGCTAACAGTCTCCTTTTTTTGTAAATAGAATATGGAGATGAGGAATTGCCTTAAGCACTTCAGATTTTTTCTTAGATTATGATTTCTTTGTGCTAACATCTTGCGGATCTGCTTTTTAAATTTGTGCAAAGTAAAAGTATATGAATGGTATTGCATAGCATCTTGGGTGCTATTGTTAGGTACAGTGTCAGCAAAGGTAAAGTACTAGCTGCAGCTTCATTATGAGTTGACGTAGGAAGAATGTCTGAATACCCTGAGACTGCTCTGGCAAGTGGATTTTATTGGCGGCTACTCGACCACTTGATTTGATTGGGCAAACTTGCAACCCTCTTGAATGGTGGTGCTGGCACAGCTCCTGTTAGAGCTGTGCTAGATTCTTTGTATCTAGCACAGTGTTTCCAAGTATGTAAGTAATCTAATGGCCTGGCCCATTGTAAAATTCAAGTATTTTGTGGGGAGGAGGGGAGTTGTGGCGTCGCTAAACTTGAGTTCTCTTGTAAAGATGTGATTTATCTTTTAAATGTATTTCTGTAGATTTACAAGTTTTTGGTTAAGGGTTTACTATTAGTCTTTTTGTAAATTACATTACTTCTGTTTGTTAACAGGGCATAATATGAGGTTTTTTTAATGTAGTGGTAAACTGTAAAAATATATTTGCATAAAAAGGTAGTGGAAGTATGTGAATCTACTGAAGTTAAGGGGTATTAATTTTGGAAATGGATAGTTGATAACATACATGCATTCATATCTTAAGTTTGTCTTCAAGTATAGGGTGTAAAGGGCAGTGACTGAATTTTCAGTTTAGACTTACTTCCATGGTCTTTCAAAAAGCTTGTAAGTAGGAAAAATAAGTACGTGCCCTGTGTAACAAGGCTGCAGAAGTATACACATCAGTTTCCTACATGTTTTCTAAGTTACTGCTCCTTCACACCTCGCACATACAAGATGAGGAAACTAATTGGTTGCTATAGGGAAAATATCCAGCTTAAAAAAAAAAAAAAAACTATCTTCTGAGCATAGTAGATTATGGATTTTAATCATCTTGGTAGACTAGTTCAAGTGTGATCTTCCACCTACACTCAGATTTTTCTAAACATTTTATTGACTGTTGAAGGGGAAATCTGGATTTTGTTTTCCCAGGCACTGTGAAGTGGGCTTTATGCATATCTCTGACTATTAGGCAAAGCTTTTCATTTCCCCCCATTGTTTAACACCTCTTTTGCTGCATGTGCCTTTCATAAGTGGAGCTAGAATCACTGCTCCTGCTGTGGCATAATGTGTTGAGTGTACTTGGTGATCTTGAATTGTCACATTGATTTTTACTTTACAGATTGCACATTGATTTCCATGTACATCACTTTGACAATACCTCAGGTATTCTGTAATCAGTGCTTCATTCCTCATTCTTTGTATAAAGTATCCCAAGATAACAGACCTGTCATAGCAAGACTACAGGGGTGCCTTAGAGCCCACAGAGTATTTTATTTGCTATGTCTTTAACTCAAACTGTGTATATCTTACAAACATTTTTGTATTAATAAATTAATTTTGAAACATTAGCTGCATAATACCCTTGTCACAGCTTCTCCTTTTGATTTTCATGCCAGAGGAAGACAGCATCTTATTTTCGCTGAAATATAAACTTACTTTAGGTTGAAAGATGTTCCTACTTGAGCATTAAGACATTGTGTGTATTTTATACTGCAAGTATTGGATTAGATCAAAAACCTGTGGTAATTAATAAAATACATGGTCTACTGAACAGAATGACTGACCATTCTATAGTTACCTTTTTCTGAATCGCAGCATTCTACTTCACCTTTTCTCTATTCTTTCCCCTTATCTGGTCTTAAATACTATTTCTTCAATATATTTTCCTGATGTTTCGATGTAACCATTAGTTTGAATGCAAGAGTTGATTCATTTTTAATTCAAAGTGCTACATTCAACACTGTCAAGGTGGAGCCTTGTAATAGCTGTAAAAAATCTACTTAAATGTCAGGCAAAACTGCCCTCTTCATTGAATGTCAGACTGACTTTATTAATGTTTTTCAGCAGCATAGCATAAACTGCTAAATACAGAATTTGAGAGCTGCACCCAGTGCTGCATGGAGTAGAAGTGGTTTCCTGCTGTTTTGAGCTGTCAGAACCACGTGGGGCAATAGGATGTCAATTTGTATCTGCATCTTGGCAAATGCACATTGCACGTTTTCTCCTGTCACAGAAAGGCTTATCCAGTTCCCCTTCCCATTTGTAGCTGCCTACTTCACCCATCCTATAAATAGCTGTTAAATAGTTTTTGTGGGTTTTTTTTTTGGGGGGGGGGGGAGGGGACATGGACTAAAGGCAGCTAGCCCACTTCATCTGTCAGTTCTATATTTCTCCTATAAATAGAAAAATAGGTGGGCAAGGACTGTAGCCCTAGCCTTTGTTCCAAGCTCATGTCTGTGTAAATAATAGTCCTAGCCTTAAAGAGCTTATCTCCTAGGTGACCAAAAAGTGAAACCCTGCCTGTTTAACAGATGCAGTTGTAAAATGATGCTTTGGGCCCCTAGTGCCACCTGTACTCCAGGTGTCCTTAAGGATCCAGCAGCCCCCCCAAACTGAAAACTTCTTAAATGAAAGGATAGGAAGGACAATTGCCCCACTTTCCCTTAACATACACAGTACCTCCTTTGTCTACACTAAGCTTCTGCCAGCTTGCTTTTATCTAAGGGTATATGTTCACTACCAACATTAAAGTGGTGCAATGTGGCTGTGTAGTTGTGGCACCAGTGCTGGTAGAGAACTCTCCCACTGCTGTAAAAACAACCCCCACCCCCACAAGGGGAGTAGCTACCAGCATGGGAAGCACAGCTATCAGCGCTGGTGCACTGTCTATACTACCACTTTATAGCACTGAAACTTGCATGGCTCAGGGGTGTGTTTTTTCACACCCCAGAGCGAGAAAGTTTCAGCACTGTAAAGTGGCAGTGTAGACAAGACCTAAATTGCTCTCTGCCCAGCTCTAGGAAAGCAAAGATCTATCATCTGTCTTTGATAGAAAACAGGCATAGAACTGTATGCGTCATGTACATCTTGATAGAACTACAGCCCAACTTGTTTTATTTTCCTCAGCATGACATACACGAGGGGCAATCAAAATCAGCCTGGCAGAACATGTATGAGAACTGTATCTGGACAGATAAGCAATTGATCAAAGTCACATTCTCTGATCTCTTGGGGCCAAATCCTGTTCCCATTGAAATCAGACGTTTTGCTATTGAGTTCAATGGGAACAGGCTTTGACATTTGGAGAGGAAAGAACAAAACCACTCAAGCAAGGGCTGTGTTGCTTATACCACAGGTGAGCGAGTCAGCAGACATCTGGTGCTAGAACAGTCTTTTTACCATATCCAATTCATAAATCCATCTGCAAAGGATCAAGGACATACAAAGGCTCCAGAGTTCCTCAGTACTTTGGTTAGAATGATCCCATGGGTATATTATATGCTCATAGGCCAGAGGTTGGAGCAGGAATCAAAAACCGCGTTTAAACACCAAAACAACAAGGGGTCCAGTAGCACCTTAAAGATAAACAGATTTATTAGCGCATAAGCTTTTGTGGATAAAAAAACCTCACTTTAAATAGGATATCTCCATTAATTTTATCTCCTAGAATTGGAAGGGACCTTGAAAGGTCATCAAGTCCAGCCCCCTAGGAGGACCCAGTACTGATTTTGCCCCAGATCCCTAACTGGCTCCCTCAAGGACTGAACCCTGGGTTTAGCAGGCCAATGCTCAAACCAATGAGCTATCCCTCCCCCCCTTCTGCAGATGCACCAGATGTTTAAACACCTTCCATTCCCCCCCCCCCAGCCCTTCTGAGGACTCTTGACCACCTTAACAGCACAATACATCTGCTAACAGAGTCTTTAAGTTTAATAGCTCAATACATATGCTAACAAACTCCTCTAAAGAACTGGGGGGGAGAGGGACTAGCCTCCAAGTCTCGCCGGTACCCTCTACCTGCTAAAAAAATCTCTTGCACGTGTACCCCCCTCCTTGCACGGCTACAAACGCTGTATCCCCGGCCGCTCGCACACACGCGCCGCAGCTTTGCAGGGCTCTTTAGAGGCGGGCAAAGGACATGTCCAGCTCGCCTGGTTTGGGAGGCGAGCTTACCCCGGGCCTGCTGCCCATCAGGAACCCCCGTTCTGCGTCAGGCTCATGCTGGCTGAGCCGCGCGCAGCGCTCACACGGCCCCCGCCCACCCTGCTCGCCGGGTGGCCGGCCGCGCGCCCTTCCTGGCGCATGCGCAAACTGTCCCACCGCTCTACCAGCCGCAGGCACTCGCTTTACGGCTGCTGCAAACCACGCCCCCTGGCAGACGCGGCGGCAGCCCAGGTAACGGAATGGCGGCCGGCGGGGGCTGCCCACGCCAGCCCGGGGCCTGTGCGGGAGTGGAGCGGTCCTGGCCGGGTCCGGCGCCCCGTGGGCTCCGAGCGACGGGCCGGGCGGTGGGGGCGGAGTCCGGCGCTGGTCCGCTGGTGGGGGAGGGGCGAGCCCCCAGGACGCTGCGGGAGAACCGGGCCCCGGCCCGGGCCTCTGCAGCCTGCCGGGGGCGAAGCGCGCTCGCAGCAGCGGTCCCTGCCCGCCTGGGGGTGACTCGGGCAGCCGCGGGTCTCGGCCCGGAGCCGGGTTAACACTAGTGCTTAGGGCTGCCGGCTGTCTGAGCACAGACACCCATTCCCGGTCGGCCCCTGCCCTGACCCCTTCCCCGCCCCCCCCCGCCATCTCGCTCGCCCCCCGCACTCACTCTCACTGGGCTGGGCAGGGAGTTTGGGGGTGGGAGGGGGCTATGGGTTGAAGCAGAGGGGTGGGGTGCAGGAAGGGGCTGGGGGAGGGGGGGGCAGGGGGCTTGGGGTGCAGGCTCTGACCTCAGAGGGCTCCCAGAAGCAACAGCAGCTCACAGGCGGCCCGGCAGCTCTGTGCCTGTAAGCACCGCCCCCGCAGCTCCCATTGGTTGCGGTTCCCCATTCCCAGCCAATGGGAGCAGCAGAGTTGGCGCTTGGGGCAGCGCGCAGAGTCCCCCTGGCCGCACTTCCTGCTAGGAGCCGCTGGACATGCCGGCCGCTTCCAGGAGCGGCACAGAACCAGGGCAGGTAGGGTGCCTTGCTTAGCCCCGCTGCACTGCCGGACTTTCTAGTGGCCTAAAATCTCCCAGATTAGCTTCCGGGAGACTCCTGGCCAAAACAGGACAACCTTAAATATGCTGAAAGTGCTTTTCAAAGATTAACTATTCACCAGAACATAGAATTCCTCAGAACATAGAATTTAAGGCAAGAAGGGACCATGAGATCATCTAGTCCAGTGCTTTTCAACCTGTGGTCCACGGACTCCTGGGGGTCTGCAGATTATGTCTAAGATTTCCAAAGGGGTCTATACCTCCATGTGAAATTTTTTAGGGGTCTGCAAATAAAAAAAGGTTGATAACCACAAATCTAGTCTGACCACCTGTAAATCACAGGTCAGTACCCTGTACCTGCACAGTAACCAATGACCAAAATGAGACCCAAGTATTACAGTCCACAGGAGACTAGCCTGTTACATGCCCCAGACAGAGAATAGGAGAGTGCACCAGTGTCTAAGGCCCTTACAATGGCAGGGATTACGTGAAATATGGCCAGATAATCTTGGCAAGTGACCTGCACCCACAGTTTGCAGAGGAAGGTGACATCCCCTCAGTTACTGCTAATCTGATCTGGGGGAAAATTCTTTCCTGACCCCACATATGATGCTCAGTTAGACCTGACTATGTGAGCAAAATCTAGCCAGCCAACCATCTGAGAGAATGCTCAGTGCTACCTCAGAGTCCTAGCCCTCCCTGTCCAGTGTCTGATCGCCCATGATGCTTCAGAAGAATGAGATTTAAAAAAAAATCAAGTCCTCTCAGAATACATTGGGTGGGGAATTATTTACAACTGTTACAATAAAACTGACATGCTTAAATTACCTAAAACATAGTGAGTAGCTAGCATAGATGAGATTAGAATTTGACTCCCTATCCTGAGCTCAGACCATTATGCCAACCAGACAAATCCTTTACTTTTGAAATCAGACACTGCTTTCATATCATAGGCCTGGTCCACACTAACCCCCTACTTCGAACTAAGATATGCAACTTCAGCTACGTGAATAACGTTATTCACGTAGCTGAAGTCGAAGTACCTTAGTTCGAATTTACCGCGGGTCCAGACACGGCAGGCAGGCTACCCCATCGACTCTGCGTACTCTTCTTGCGGAGCAGGAGAACCGGTGTCGACGGCGAGCACTTCTGGGATCGATTTATCGCGTCTAGACAAGACGCGATAAATCGATCCCAGAAGATCGATTGCTTACCGCCAGACCCGGAGGTAAGTATAGACCTACCCAGTTTGATTATATGCTGGTGTTAGTGCCAGAATAGAATCCAATTTATAAAGTAGCTGAAAGCCTGACTAGAGAAGAACTGTAGGTGTTTCCCACCCAGCAGATTTCCCAAATTATGCCAGCTCAGAAGTGACAGATTGAGCTGGAGTTTCAAACTTTGATCCCCCGAATGGTAGTTGCGTTCTACTACTGCTGCTATAATTAAATATTGGTGTTCAAACTCACTATGTTTATAGCTCTGATTTATGTTTGGTTGACTAGCATCATCAGTACTACTTTAAGCTCATCTTATATCAGTGGTTCTCAAACTTTTGTACTGGTGACCCCTTTCACATAGCAAGCCTCCTGAGTGCCCCCCCCCCATTATAAATTAAAAACACTTTTTTATACATTTAACACTATTATAAATGCGGGAGGCAAAATGGGGTTTGCGGTGGAGGCTGACAACTCACGACCCCAGTTTGAGAACCCCTGTCTTATATGGACAGGGGACTGGAAGCTATTTAGCTAAGGAAGAGCAGGATTGAAGAAAGAAATGAACCAAATGTTATCACTCTGAACAACACAATACATGAGACATAATCAGAGATGTAATCACAGTGTAAATGATTGTTCTAATGTCTGGTGTCTCCTCAAATGCAGGATTTTCTCTCACAGAATGAAGTTTCACTGCATTCTCATTAGATGTCCCAATTTCTGGTCAAGTGAAAGGAAAAATAAAACACAAAAGAGGAAAATGTTCTCTTTCCTATCAATTAATCCTGGTTTCTTGCTCTGATTGTTGTGGATCTGTTTTTCCTCTTTCTCCCATTATAGTTAAATATTTTAAATAACAAAATGGTCTCAATACAAAAATTGTTCTTCTCTCAAGCCAATGAGTCTTTTTAGGTAGTCTCTCTTATTTAGTTGGCATTTCTTCCCCTTCAGTATGTGATTGTTCCTTATTAAACATGATAGTTGCACTTTGATGGTATTCTCACTCCAGTAGCTTTCCTAGATGTCTAGCTTATATAGTTAGGATTGCATCTAGATTGGCTATAGTTTGAATGGGTTTTATTTGTTTAAAATACGTTTTTTCAAAGATAAGACTAGAAACCCAGCAGTCTCACTGATTAGCTCCCATTTCGCGTGGATTTACTCATAATTTGCATTACTCTTTTTTCTTCTGTAAGTACTTTATGTTCACACAATTTACTATAGTTTCAATTAGCTTTTCAGAACTGTTATACCTTGTTATTAAAAAGTAGATTTTGTATGTATTTTTTTACTTAAACTAAGTGACCTTCCTTTGCTCACAGAAAAGCAAAGAAGTTATACGCAATCTGAAAAGATGAAAAAGACTGAGCTGCTTTCAAGTGATAATCAAGTGAGCCCCGAAGACTAATGCAGAGAATTAATAAGAACGTGGTTTTGGCTCTTCTTACTTTGACAAGTTCAGTGTTTCTCCTGTTCCAGTTGTACTATTATAAGTACTACTTATCTCCAAAGGTAAAAAAAATCATTTTAAAGACTTGAATTTGGCCAAAAAAAAATTAAAATAGTACTTATTATGCTCAAGTGCGTTACAAATATTAACTAATTATTACTCAAAAATCCCTGAGGGATTGATAGCTATTACCATAAAATGGACATGCAAAAATTAAATACATTACCCAACAGGACACAGTGAGCAGGTAGCGTAGAACAGATGAGATTAGAATGTTACTCTCAATCCTGAGCCACACTGCCAGCTAGACAAAGACTTTACCTGTGAAATCAGACACTAGACTGAATTTCCGCGATTCCAGGTTTTGCTGCGCATTTGAACTCAGTCTGGTACATCAAAAGGTTTTTTTTAAACTTCCTGAGTGCATGCACTTTGACTTAACCCAGACTGATGTATGATTCAGTGTTGAAACTTGAGACAAATGGAGTTTCTGTAAGGCTGTTTAGGGAAGCAAAAAAGTAAAATGCAATTTGTTGTTTGCTGCATCTTCAACAGATGTGTTAAAATTAAAAGAAGCTACTGTTTCTGCAGAATCTGTCACCTTTAACTTGTCTCTGGGGTTCTGTTGTAAAGCTTTCTAGATACCAAATGTAAATTCCTGTAGTTATGATTCTGATTTAGATGTAATCTTTCCATAATGGGAAAATAAAAGCAATAATTAGCTAAAATGCTGCTCGAAGTGAAATCTTGCCTCATGAGGATTAAATGGTTTATCTCTAGATTTCAGTTCACACAGTACAAGAACTCAAGGCAACATTATGTCTTCGCTTTCTCCTTCTTTAGAAGGAGAGTCTGTTGGTATCTAATTTCCTGGCTTAGCTCTTTTGGTGGGGGTAACCCTTATTCAGTCTGAAGTCTTTTTAGTGTTACATGACATTACAGTCTGGCTTCCTCATATGCTGTCCACAGCAAAACTGTGAATTAGAAATCATTGTCCACTAGGTAGCTAGGAATCTGAGGCTTTAACACAAATGTTTTCTTATGACACAAATATTTTCCTTCTCAAACTTATCCATCGACAGTCATATCTTTGACAGGCTGCACCACTGAACCTCATGTATGACTTTTCCCCAGTGTTCTGAGGCTACTGGCATTATTTAATCTTCTTTTTTCAGAGTGGATTAATTTAAATCACTGACTTTAATCATGATTTAAATCAACAAATAGGAAACCTTGATTTAAAAAATCAATTTGAATCGTGTTTTGCATTTTAGTTATTTTCCATAAGAAAGCTTGATTTTCATTGGTTAGTAACCGTTCAAACATTGATTGCAACTAAATGTAGCCTTTTAACTAAATGTGGTGCTTCTTTTTGCTAACCAGGTGGGTACATTGTATTTATGCACATTTATTTAAGCAAGTATATTGCTTAACTTAAAAGAAGTTACTTAATTTTTATATTTTTTTATGTTAGAAAATGGTGAATGATGCATTTCTTATTCGCTAGATAAATTTTTAACTTGCACTTTGTGTCAAGCTCTAGTTGGATGGAAATTCAAATTAAATTTAAAATTCAGAAAACCAGCATTTTAAATTAAATAAAACTACCTTAAATAGCCTGGATGCATAAGAAAATAATTATCAAAACATATTTTGCCTTTACAACTAATTGATTTATTAAACGAAGTATTATCTGTAGTTAGTGAATTGAACTTATTGTTTCTGGTTACCATGTCTTCATTTAGAAGTAGTAGTTATCATCATCTCACCTTGTTTTTAATCATAGATTGAAAAGCAAGAAAGCTTGTTTTCCTTTTCTAACTCCCAATTACTTTTTTAACTTTGAATGCACTGAACTTGCTGAACAAACTGAAATGAAGGAAGTATTCTTGCTGCAACTGCAGAAGAGGATACTGCTGTCAAAAGCTGGTTTGGCACTTCAACATACTCTGATTTCAAGTCCTTTGCCAGTGACTGCCACGAGTTCAGTAATTTGACTTTTTTTAATACTTTGGCAGCAAACATGTACTGCTTCATATTATTTTTTGTATTTAATTTAAATGATTTTAATATATTATAATAAGTTTAGGCCTAAACACAGGTTGTCAATTCAAAATGTAAATATGTATATTTTTAAAATAAACCTATATTTAATTTACATTTAAAAAATTGTTTTGTTTTGATTTTTTTTTAATCTATTCTTACCTACTCTGTCCTTTTTTCTTTTACTAATTGGCCTATTGACTTGGAAACATAAGGCTAGATCCAGCAATCCTTGTATGGTCCTTCTAAATATATTAAGTGAATACTACTGGCCATGCTTTTTGCTCCATGTAACATATATAAGTAACTTAAAACTGCAATCCTTGAAATGTAAATTGTTAATGAAAAAAATATGTAAAATTTCCTTTTATAAATCTAAACAAAACCACCATTTGGGACATCTTAGCTTTCAAAATATCTTTTGTCCTTCTTCTTGCTAGAATGGAGCTGTTTTTTCAAAAGTTAAAGGAAGCCAGTCAGGACAAGATGGCATACAATGGGTATGTACAATGTTACTTATTTATGCAGCATCTCGTGTAAGTATCAATGAACTCTTATAGAATTGCAAATTATGGGTCCACTTCTGCATCCAGTTTAGTCATTGGGAATTTTGTTGTTTTCAATGGAAGCAGCCTTGATCTTACCGCCCTGAACATGACCATTAAAGTAAAGGGGATTTCTGAGTGCTCAGCTGTCTCAGGATCGTGCCCTGTGTGCTGTACACATAGGCATCACTTCTGAAATGCACCTGTTTCTAGAGTGGAACTTAGCCTTGTAGTTGTGGCATCAGGATAACAAAATAGTTGAGATACAGAAAGTGAAGAATAACTTATCCTATTAAAACAGCAGGGACAAGTTAGACAGGCAGCATGTAATTTAACCTGATTAGAATTGAGCCAAAACACTAACACAGAAACTGGAAATCTTTAATTTACTTTTTTTAAAAGTGAATTTAGTGTTTGTGAAAGGTGTCAGATTGATGGATTTGAACACTGAAGTCTCCTGTTTATCCCTAGAATACACTTGGGCATGCTAATGGGAGTGTCTCCGAAGCTCCTGTGCCCCCATCTATAATATACTGGTTTCAAAACCTATTCCGTTGGAACAGTTTAAATTGTTCATTCAGCTCTGTTTGACGCTTCATATAAATGGTGCTTCAGGGCTCAGAGGGAAGTCATTTTCTATGTCTGTTCAATCCTTGGCCCTTTTGATATGAGAACCAGCACTGGTCACAGTTAGAGCCAATTGTGACAATTAATTTCATGATGTAAACTTCTCTCTAATCAGAATTGGACTGAGGCACATACTCATTTACATGAGCCAACCAACAATTATTTTTACAGTGTGCTCAGAGACATAACTTTCATATTGATTATGGTGGTACCTAATGGGGAGAACAAAGCTGAAGAACTGAAAGTTCCTTACCACTGAATTCCACTCTCTACCATAAAGATTAATCAGATTAAATAGGTCATTGGGAGGCCTTGCTCTCCACTTCTCCAGAGGACTTTTTGAACCTTAAAAGAAAAGGTTCAGATTGGTCACTTGCTATTTAAGAGCAGAAAAAATGCAGATCCGTATGGTGGCATTGTTAAAATGATGGATCGTCATCATCGTCATGTTCCTATGACACCTCTGGCGTTTAGGGCAGTGACAAAGTTCCTCCACTCCTGTCTGTTTCTGGTAAGTCTTTCAATGGTTCCCCAGTTGTGGCCAGGGTTTTTCAGCTCGGCTTCCACAGCTCTTCGCCATGTTGTTTTCGGGCGGCCTCATTTTCGCTTGCCTTCAGGTGTTCATCTTATTGCTACTCTAGTGATGGAATCAGTTTCCATCCGAAGCACATGACCAATCCGTCTCCGATGCCTCCTGGCAATGATGGTGCTCAGATCCTCTTGGCTGCACTGCGTCAATAGATCTTGGTTTGAAATTGTTCTGGTCCAAAAGATGCAGAGGATTTTTCTGAGGCAGGTTGTGAGGAATGAAGACAGTTTGGACATTTCATACTTTCTCATTCCCCAGGATTCTGCACTATAAAGTAGTGTTGAATGCATGCAGCTCCGATAAATCTTGAGTTTGGTTTTGGTGTTGTATTTTGATGATTTCCAGACTGTATTTAAGCTCTTGAAGGTGTTCCTGGCTTTATTGATTTTGTTCCGGATGTCCTGGCTTGTTCCACCGTCCCGGCTGATGATGCTGCCCAAGTATGTGAATGTTTCTACATTGGTGAGAACATAAGCCTCTATCAGTGATGGTGAGGCAATATTAAAGTTCATGATATATGTCTTATTGCGGTTGATTTTCAGTCCAATTTGCTGGCTGAATGCGTTGAGTCGAGTTGTTTTTTCTTGTATATGGTGTTGGGTATGTGCTAGGAGAATGACATCATCTGCAAAGTCCAGGTCTTCAAGGGGTGAGAAGAGTGTCCATTTAATGCCTCTTGGCATGTTTTCTGTTGTACATTGCATTACCCAGTCAATGGCAGTGTTGAAGAGGATTGCAGACATGACACACCCCTGACGTATTCCTGATTTGACTCCAAAACTGAGCTCACTGTGATCAACATTGCATGTAAAGTTGAAATAGAAGTTTTTGATGACGTTAATTATACGGAAAGGAATTCCATATGCCCGCAGAATGCGCCATAGGCTGGTCCTGTGAATGCTATCAAAAGCCTTCTCAAAGTCTATGAAATTTATATAGAGTTGCCGTTGTCATTCTAAGCACCGTTCTGTTATGTTTCGTAGAGTGAAGATCTGGTCTGTGCATCCACACCCTTTCCGAAAACCAGCTTGCTCTTTTCTGAGAACACTATCAACTGCCTCTGATATACGCTAGACTATGATCTTACACAATACTTTGCTTGGCACAGATAAAAATGTAATACCATGCCATTTATTACAATCACTAAGAGTTCCTTTCTTTGGTATCTTCACCATAACCCCATTGGTCCACTCATCTGGCACTTTTTCCCTTTCCTTTGATGTAAATAGAGGGGCCAGGATAGATGCTGCTAATTTAGGATTTACTTTGAACAATTCTGCATTTAAGTTATCCTTGCCAGGAGCTTTCCTATTTTTTAAGGATTTGATGGCTTGAATGATCTCTTCCTTAGTTGGGGTATCTTCTTCCTCCTGGATGTTTGCTTCCTCTTCAGGTGGCTCCCTGTTCAGCAATTCTTTGAAATGGTCTGTCCAGCACATTTCTTGTTCTTTTTCAATTGTTAGCAGGTGTCCATGTTTGTTCCTGATGAGTGTTTGTTGGTGTCTGCCATTTACCACTGATAAGCTGCGTCACTTTGTAGACGGTTCCTTGTTCACCACGAGCAGCTGCATCCTCTGCTTGTGTTGCCAGATTATCACTATAATATTGTTTGTCTGCTCTCACAAGGTGTTTGACCTCCCGGTGTGCCTTGCTGTACTGCTCGGGGTATTTGTCCTTTAGCTTCTGGGATTTTGTGTCTAAAACTTTTTTTTCAGGGCTCGTCTGGTTTCTGTGGTGTTCCATGTGCTGTGTGTAATCCACTCCTGCCGTCTCTTCTGCCTGTAGCCTAGACAGACTTCACAGCTCTGTTTATAAATTGCTGTTACTTTGTATCACTTCATGTTGATCTCCTCATCTGCATTCCCCTCCTCTTCATCCAGGTCTGCAAGTGTCTGAAACCTGTTCTTTAACTGCAGAATGAAGGCTTTCTGTATTTCAAGGGACTTTAGCTTGTCAATATCATAACGTCTCTGTCCCTTGTTTGGTGGACCCACACTTCTCAGTTTTAGCTTGATGGAGGCTGTCAGAAGGTGGTGGTCACTGCCAACATCTGCACCCCTTCTCACTTTCACACCTGTCAGTGAGTGTCGCCGTTTGCCATTGATCATGATATTGTCAATTTGGTTCTTATCTCTGTCATTTGGAGAACACCATGTCAGCTTGTGAATTTCACTATGTGGAAATAGGGTTCCCCCGATGACTAGGTTATTCATATTACAGAAATCAACAAGCCTTTCTCCATTTTCATTCACGGTGCCACACCTATGTCTTCCCATTGCTCTGCCGTTGTTTGTGTTGTCCTTACTGACCTGGGCATTCAGGGCTCCCATGGTGATAGTTAAGTCGTGACGTGGCACTCTCTCTAACTCTGCCTGTAGTATAAGGTAGAATTTGTCCTTTACTTCTTCATCACTGTCATTTGTCGGAGCATAACACTGAATCAGGGTGATATTATTATGTTTCCCTTTCAGTCTGGCTCTCAAGTCTGCTGCTGCTGGATTTCCATTCAAGCAGGGAATCTCCACTCCCTTCTTCGAAAGGATGGCAACACCCTCATAGTGTTGTCCATCATCCCGTCCAGAAAAGAGCAAAGTTTCTCCCGAGTCTGTTGTTAATCTTCCTGATCCCGTCCATCTGCTCTCACTGACACCCAGGATGTGTAAGCTGTAGCATCTCATCTCTGCTGTGACCTGAGCTAGTTTCCCGGTTTCGTACATTGTCAGTACGTTCCAAAAACCAAGTTTGGTTTTTGTCTTGGTGTTGAGCACTTCAGTCTTTATGCCAGTGGCTTCCTTTCGGCTTTCACCACTGGCATTCATACGGGTAACTGACTCCTGAAGGCTATCACACACAGTAATGGTCGATTTCTCCATCGCTGTTTCTGTAACATATTTTGTTTTTTACAGGCCAGGGTTGTTAGCCCTGTGCCTAACCCCCAACCTGGAGAACCAGGGTGTCTGTTTTGTCTGGCCTCTCCCCCACAGACCAATCCGGGAGCAAAAAACCCCCGCCGACACAGACTCTGGGGATTGGTAGAGCATGCAAGCTGTCCCACCATGACAGGGCATGGACACCAGAGGACAGAAAATGGATGGTCTTGCCAAATTATCTACCTTTTAGGAAATAGTTTATTTTAACTACAGTTCATAATCCTGTGTATATGATACAGTACAGTAAGACTCTCCATAGCTTTCACGAAGAATCCAAAACCAAATATTTAAAGAGAGTTTATAGCAAGTGTGGAATTATGCAATGATTTGGATTTGGATTTTTGTCCAGAGTCCTTGCCGTTGCTGGTTAAATTTTATACCAGAAATGTTTGTAGCCATGTTCACCTTTCAAAAATCTGGGTAAAGTAAAAGATGCCTTCTGTCAGATCACCATACCGTGTAATACTTATGTGCACCAAATGATGCCTCTGTGAGATGAGCAAAATTACAAAGCATTTGAAGACATTGGTTGAAATTCCCTATTTTTGAAACAGAAGTATTGAACTAGGGTTGTGGGTTTGGGGACCTCAGAGATTCTTTTGTCTGTGTGGTCCTCAAAACACTTTTCCACCTTTTAAGAAACATTTCTGCAGGACCTGGCTTTGTCTTCCCTTTTCTGATGTAGAAGTTCTGATCCATACCCTTGTGTCCTTCCAAATTGAATATTGAAATGCTTTGCTTATTGGAATTCCAGCTTGTTTAATAGGCTGCAGCTGGCACAAAATCACCAGCTAAAATTTGTACTGGCAGATAGTCACATTACATAATACTGCACACTCTTCCAGTTGTTTGACCTTATTTTGCTTGCTCTCACTCTAGCTTCATGTTAGTAGTTTATGCTGACTTATAACGCTCTTCACAAATGAGGCAAAGTGACCTTTCTGAGCTACAGCTCCTTACTCCACTGGTTGGAGGCAATGCTGCAGGTCTTATTACTACTTCAATTTCAAGCTATATTTTGGTTGGCTACTTTTTTAAGGGCTTAATCCTGCAGGCTGCTGAGCACTGCTGAAAGAAGCTCAGAGAGCAAAAGGTGTAATGGTTCAGAACCTCCTTAGAAAAGTGGGTTGTGAACAAATCTCTGTGCCTGCACTGAACTCCACACTGGTGGTTATGGAGAAAAGTGGATGTAAGGGGGAGACTCTGTGTAGGGTTGCCAATTTTGTAATCGCACAAAACTGAATACCCTTGCCCCACTCCTTCCCTGAAGCGCCACCCCTTGCCCCATCCCCGAGACCCCAGGGTGTGAGATGGGGCTCTGGTCTGGGGCAAGGAGTTGGGGTGCAGGAGGGGGGTGAGGGCTGCAGCTGGGGGTGCTGGCTCTGGGGTGGAGGTAGAGATGAAGGGTTTGGGGTTCAGAAGGGGGCTGGAGGGTGGGACCGAGGGATTCAGAATGTGGGAGGGGGCTGGGGTTGAGGCAGAGGTTTGTGGTGTGGGAGAGGGTACGGGCTCTGGGCTGGGGCCAGAAATGAGGGCTCTTGGTTTGGGGGGGCTCAGGGCAGGAGGTTGGGGCGCTCCCAGTCAGCGGCATAGCAGGGCTAAGGCAGGCTCCCTGTATATCCTGGCTCCGCGCTGCGCCCTGGAAGCGGCCAGCAGGTCCAGTTCCTAGGTTGGGGGGCCAGGAGGCTCTGCACGCTGCTCTCACCTGCAGGCACCGCCCTCCCCACCCTGGCCAATGGGAGTGCGGAGCCGGTGCTCAGGGCGGGTGCCGCGCGCGGAGCCCCTTGCCACCCCTCCCTCCCCGCCTAGGCGTTGGACCTGCTGGCAGCTTCCAGGGCGCACCGCAGTGCCAGGACAGATAGGGACCAGCTTGCCTTAGCCCTGCAGCACCGCCGACTGGACTTTTAACGGCCTGCTCAGTGGTGCTGACCAGAGCCGCCAGGGTCCCTTTTCAACCGGGGGTTCCAGCCAAAAACCAGACACCTGGCAACCTTAAGAATGTGCCCTGGCTGTGCCCTTTGGTTTAAATACAGTCCTGTGCTTGCAAGTGATGTGCACAGTAGCCATTTTAAAGAGGTTTAGGTACTGCCAGCCAGGAATAATGGCTACTCGGGAATGTTCTAGAGCTGTATTTGGGGAAAGTCAAAGCAGGGGCAGCTGCGAGGACTGCCTTCTTACATAGAAATATTTGATGATTCTATGAAGTGGCATTTCTCATAGCCAGCTACTGAGTGCTTCGTGACATGTACTGGACGTGATGTTCTCTCTGGCTCAACAGCCTGCAGGAACAGCTCCCTTGTAGCTTTTACTTTATTGGATTGTTAGTAACAAAGCAGAATACTTATCCTGCTGGTGGCTCATTGCAGCTGTTTCTCAGCTTTCATTCTGCAGGATAAAGCCCTAAATTATTCAACTTCTCTGAATACCTGAAACTTCTTGACTTCAGGACTATCCCTCGGTGCCTCTTGTTTAAGTTTAAACTTGAAGAGCATTTCCTCTGTGAAACACCTTCCTTTTTCCACAGATTTACTCCCTGATATTCAGAGGTAAATCTGCTCACTTTAATGACAAAAGTAATACTTTTACTACTTTACCTTCCTCGTAGCTGTATTGGCTCTGCAGAGCTCAGGGAGGGAATGGATTTCATACCTGCTTGTGAAACTCCTATAGAATTGGTTCCTAAATTCAATTTGCTGAGCTATATTCTGTTGTCACTTACACTTATGCATCCCTATTAAAGCCAGTCGTGTTCTAGAGGTGGCAGAACATGGTCCACAGAACATATATTATTGGACACAATGTGTGACCCAAACAAAACCATAGCTTGGCATTCAAATGCCAGGTTCAGTTTGCAGGGCTGTAGTTGGAGGGTGGGGCAAAGTCTCTTGACTGAACACATTTGATCTGGAATCATTGAGGTATGATGAACATGCAACCCTGCAATGCCATTTTTACATTCACTTTCAGAGTAGAACTGCACATTAAGGCATTTGCTTGTAATTGATTTAATCCATCCTGCAGTGTTAAGTTAGATTAACTTTTAATTGTTGTCACAGTACGATAAATTGCTGTAAATGTTTGTTGATTTTTCATCTTCCGTGGAGATGTGACTGTATCTAATTGAAAGAATACCTGTGTATGAGTCAAGCTAACAAATCACCCTCCTAGAGACTGGATAATCTGGCTGAAGCATCTAGTCCTTATCGTGCTTTTTTGATACTTACAAACATCAGAGTGGTCTAGACCAAACAAAGAGTGCATTCCATACAAGCTTGCCTGAACAGTGCACCTTTTGTACATACCAGAAACCATAGCATTACAAAGAGCATACTTGTTACAGGATTGATGGCATGAATTGCGCAGTTCCGCTTAACGGAGTGACAAATGTCCAAGTTTGCTCAGGATACTCTTGAAATCCACCTGCTAATTCTTCTCCCTTGCCCCTCAAAAATAAATATGCAAAAATTCCTGATTAGATTTGCCAGTTCCACAGCAAAAGACACTGTTAAATAGTGCTACCATGAACATGTTTTATGACCAGAGATCATTTCCTTCACTCTTCTTGTCAGTTTCACCATTATCTGTTACTGTCATATTGATGAGAATTAATTAGTTAATACATGTATAGTGCTTTGAAGACCTAAAGTGGTGAATACATGCTAATTATTATTATGACATGCCATATAGTATCTACTAAGTGTAATAATAAACTCCTCTTCCTCCCAAATTTGAGTGACCATTTTGTAAGATGACTAGCTCACATGATTATATAAATTTGTTGACTGGGATTTTTTAAAAGTAGTCTTGTAAAGAATTTTAATTCTAATTCGTATGAATATCACATTTTGTGCTTTCAGGAAAATTATCTATTTTTATTAACTTATTTCATAAGTGAAAAAAGCCTGTAAATTTCACTAAACCCACAATTTACTCTTAATTTTGCTGCTGTTGTCTAATGATCATTGTCTCAAAAGCTAGTCTGGCCCTACTTTTTCCAGTAGAGGGCTCTGCTGTACAGCAAGAAGTGCACTGGCCAGAAACATGGAACACAAAACGTGAGCTTAGAGTTCTTGCAAATATGTGGACATGAGAGCTCCTATATGTCCACACAAGGACTACGTCACACACATGCTATTGGACATAAAGTATAGCCAGTCAGCGAAGGATTTTGTTCTTAAACATGTGTCACGGGGGAACCCTGTTCTTTTATGTACGCACTTCACTCTGTAATCTCCTTTGGAGCTATCAGGTTTGGTGCTTATTCCACTTTCTGTTCCCATTGCAGAAGTCTTATTGGGAGAGATCAATACCTAATGGATTCATAATTTTAAAAGGTTAACTTTTATACACTTATAGGGTGATCTGATTCTTATTTTTTGCTCTTCCAAACAGCACGTGATTAAGAAATTCCTTGGTTTAGTGTCCAGTCACAATGTACCAGTGTATCTCATTGATCCTTTGGTTCTGAGATTAATTCAGAAAGACTTTGAACAGCTCAGCAGCTCTTCTGATGGCATGAGCCCAGAATGCAAGTATTTGTGTGCTCCACGGGACTTCACCACATTTGCATTACTGGACAAAACATGGAAACATGAAGTAAGATATTCTCCTTTTTCATTTTTGTCTGCTGTGATGCATAATGGTTGAACAGAAAATACTTAAAGACTTCCAGGTTTAAAGTTCATGATGTGGAACTGGTCTAAAAGTAGTGGTGTACCTAAATTTTTTTTGTAGAAACCTTGAGGTAAAGGGAAGTCATGCAATGGTCTGTTCAAGATGCATGGCACATGGCAGGGAAGTCCCAAAGAGAGAATAGCTTCTGCCAACACTCTTGAGAAGCTCAGATAAAATGTTTCAAAGGCAGTCTCAGTGAATTGAGAATTCATCAGCTAGCCCAAAGATAGTTGGGCGACTGTCCACAACATACATAGACTGAGGTGAGAGGGGACCAACTTTCAGAAGGAAGAGAGGGAGAGATCTGTTAGAAAGGGAGAAGAAAAAGAAATAGAAATTTATCATACATATAGCCATAGTAAAATTTGAGTAGTATCCACTGCAGAGGTAGCAGAGCTGTTAATGTGCATTTCTATGATTGTTTCATAATGTACAGCAACCATATACTGATATGTTTGTTACCTTGTCTTTTTTTTTATATTATAAGATTTTAATTAAACTCTTTCTGACAGAAAAAGTTGGGGCTTTATGATAAAAAGAAAAGTTAGGTGTACAAAATTCCTGTATTCTGGAAATGTGTATTATTTGATTAACTTGCACAAGATGTATGGAGATGACTTCAATAAAAATCTAAATAATTTTATTTAAGAAAGGGGAAAAAATGTGAGACAGGCAGCTGTAAAACTCTTTACTCAAACGCAGTGAAAAGTGGTGGTGGCATTTTGGACCTGAGTAAAGAAGGTCAGCTGTATTTCTTTCTTTCTCTTTGTCAATACTAATTTTAGCTTACAGAAACTGAGCATGGGGCATGAGTCAGAACACTATTATAGGTTTCCCTCTTTGTGCCTCAGTAATGCCATCTGTAAAAGGGGAGCTTACAGTTTTGGATTTGCTGTTGAAAAGAGCTGTTTAAGTCTTGAGTGATGATCTTCTCTTTAGTCATCATCTTATTCCCCTCCCTTGAGGAATATGTTAAAGCTGATTGGCTTCATGTAAGTTGTGAAATGTAGGCTAACATTTATGCAGATCATAAAAGAAGGATTTGCAACAGTCAAGTCATGATATAATCAAGGCATAAATAAGGATGTCAGAAGAGTCAGGTTCAATGTAAGGATGAATTCTGGGAGTGATCCAAAGCTAAAGACACGGTGCTGTGGGGTGGGAGGAAACAAGTAAATTCAAAGTCAAGGACTCTCTCAAGGTTTCAGCGTTGGATGCAAAGTGAAGGTCCAAGTTAAGGAGAGTAATTGAGACAGTGGGAAAACGAGGACTTTTTACTCTGTAGAAGGACTACAGTCTTTGAAGCCTGCAGTTTTAGAGGATGTTACGATCTCGCCGGGGCTGGTATGGTTGAGACAGGCAAAGATAGATGGGAGACAAAAGGGTCAGAGAGTGAATGGAGAAAGCTGAAGGATGAAGTGATGATCATGATTTAATCTAGCAGTGAAATTATCTAGTTTCTTCAGAAAGAGAAGATATCTGGAGTCATAAGACTTATCAGAACAAACTCATGACAGATGTTAGTCACGTTGGTTAATGCACTACAGGAAGTCATTTGAATACTACAGTCTGACCATCGTATGACAACCTATGTAGACTAGAATATGAAGTGAATGAAACACTGAACATTTTGAGGTATTTGATAGTGGATGGAAAGATTGAAGAGTGTGTGTGTGTGTGTGTGTGTGTTTTAATGGCTAAAGAAGCAGGATTCAAACAAGAAGAGAAGAATACCAGGGAGCTGAGTACTTGCATAAGGCATCAGGAAAGGTACAGTGTTTCATAGCAGAATCTATAAAGTAGCACAGAGGTTGGCAGCTTCAGTGTAAACATTTATAATCATTCCAGTGAAAAATCTGCGCGTATATATTTACACAGTGACAGTTTTGTTAGACTATTTTGTGGGAGTTGGATTTAAGTAAGGGCTTGTCTACGTGAATATTTAGTTTTCAGCAAGTTGGGCTGTGAATCTACCCTGCACTAGCTTGCCATGTGCTGTCAATGTGCACTCCGCTGACGCGCACTAACAGTTCATTAATGCGATTTGATCTCGTCCTTTTTGAAATGGGACTAATCAAAGTGCAGTAATGAACTGCTAATGCATGTCAGCAGGATCCACGCTGAGGGTGTGCTGCAAGCTAAGGGCTTGGCTACACGGAGAACGTTTTAGTGAAGAAGCTACTATGCTGACAGGAGAGCTTCTCCTTTTGACGTAGTTAATCCATCTCCGCAAAAGGCGGTAGGTGTGTCAACAAGAGAAGTCCTCCTGTCAACTTAGCACTGTCTACGCCGGGGGTTAGTTCGGTATAACTGCTTCGTTCAGGGGTCTGGATTTTTCACCCCGAGTGACGTAGTTATACCAATGTGCGTAGTGTAGACCTGGCCTTAAACGTTCATGTAGGCAAGCTCTAAGTAGTGGAAGAGGTGTCATATCCCAGTTTGTATTGTATGATTACGGGACTTTCACCAAAAGAGGGAACTCATCATATGGTTTCATTGTGCACTACAAAACTGGGAGAAATGGGGACATTTAAGCTTTTTTTTTTTTTTTTTTAATCTGTTTATTTTGGTATTGCTGTGATTTAAGGTAAGTGAAGTGAAAACAAGTAGAAAACAAAAATGTGCATAGATGGTTACCATCCTTTTAAGGTTTAGGAGAAATTCTGGAATAGGTAGGGCCTGATTCTGATCTAATTTGTATGTTGTAAATCAGGAATAACGTATGTGCATGAAGAATTGGCCCTTAGTGTTGAAGTCTTGTTTCTGTCCTCTTCACAGTAAGTGTTGTTTCTCTGATGTTTAGGTGAGTTTGGTTAGAGCTGCTGAAAAAATGGGGTTCCGGTGGCTAAAGATACAGAACAAAGACCCCCGTTTAGAAGGGATGGATGACCTCTCTGGGATTGAAATTCCCCTCCACTATATCTTCAAACTGGCCGCTCATGCCATCCACCTGGTGGTCTTTTATGAGAGGAGTGGTAACTATGTCTGGCATGGCCCATTGCGGCTGAAACAAAACATAGACAGAAAGTTTGTGCCTTTCCGAAAGCTACACTTTGGTCGCTACCCTGGAGCTTACAACAAGTAAGTTAAAAATGGAGGAAGACAAGGAGGATTTAAGGCTATTATAGCACGTTAAATACTACCACTTTGTCTTAAGATCAGTAATTCATGGTTCTAAAGGGCAAGTTATGAAATTCATCTTGTGTTCACTAAAATACAGATGAATCAAAAGTTTAAGGTGACAGATCCAATTATATTAATAGTAAAACAAGTATTTTCCCCAATTTACAGATGGAGAAATTGAGACACAGAGAGGTTAAGTGGCTTAACCTGGGCGTGAGAGATCCAGTAATGGGCCAACCCAGCATTGATTTGTGGTAGGATATTTTGATTTCCAAAGAGGTATGGTAGCACATCTTGCCAGCAGATAATTGAATGACTCTGCTTGTCAGCTTATGTCTGAAATATTTTGAAGTAAATATATGTCAGGAAAGATAGGGGTTGTCATATTAGCAATATCTGATATTAAAGAAGTGTAACCTCTTTCCGTACGTTTTGTATTCTGCTACAGAGCCAAAACTTGGTCAGAAAACTTCATAGGTGACACTCTCAGCATTGAGAAAAGGGGAGGCTACATTTGCAGCAAAGGTCATTGTAATAGTACCTAGTAACTAATGTGGAAGGATATTGAAGAGAAACCTCTTTTATGCCAGCATAGCTGGGTCAGAAATGCATTTGAACCCATTGCGTCAAACCCCTCCCCCATATTGGTGCATGCAAATAAGGGAACCCATATTTATGCACAAGTGTGGGGTTTTTCTGGTGCAGTAGATTTAGGTCCATTTATTTAGTTGCTTATATATGGACTATTGAAAACCAGTGGTTTTTCAGCCCTGGTTACCTTAGAAATGACCAACTGGAATTTTACCAAAAGCCTCCCCCCAAAAATAAAATTTTGAATGGGCACAAGCAATTTCAGCCAGAATAGGAGTAGTAACATATTATCTGATTCTGCACCATTGAAAGCAATGGAAGTGTTGCTATTTACTTAAATGGAACTGGGATCAAGCCTATAGTGCTTTTTATATTCAACGCACTTCACAATGTTAATCCTCACAATACCCCATCAGTACTTGTATTCTTGCCGTACAAATAGGGAAGCTGAAGCAGCAAGGTTAAGTGAATTGCCTTGTCAGATGTGCAAAGTCTGTGTCAGATCTCGGATGAATTATTTGCCCCCAGTCTTGTGCTTAAACTGTGCTTCTCTTCCATTTTTAAAGTTACTATAAGTGACTGAAATAGGAACTTGGCATGAAAGTGCCTCTACTAAAATTGGTCAAAAACAGGTAGCCTGGCTCTGAACTTCCCCAGAATTCCAGGGTGATCAAATCTGGAGTTTGGGGTGGGTTTTGAGAGAGAATTGACTTCACATTTTCTGTACTGTGACTTCATTTATTTTTTTCATTATAGGGGCCTGATTCTTTTATTCACTTTAGTAAACGTGGTAAAATAGTAGTGTCAGAAATAATTGTACTAAGGTTATAATAAGGGAAGGTTAGAAAAGGAATCCACAGAGAGTAACATCATTGGGAAACTGATAAAAAGCTCAGTAACGGTTGACTGGAACTCTTGTAACTTGACTCTTTGCGTCTCAATTTCTCTTTCTATCTTTCTTTCTATTTTTGCCTTCCCTGAGCAGCATGTACTTTGGTGTTGTAAGCCCAGCCTTCTAAGCCACAACTAGGCTGCCTTCACTTATGCAGTGTTTCAGTAGCATATGAAAAATGGCGAAGCTACACACTTGCTACAGTCTTGGCGAAGCAAGATGCATACAGCCTGACTGTGAGAATAATATTCCTGCAGTCTACTTGAAATTGTCACAACAACCAGAACAGAAACAAACGCTTGTAATAATGGAGATATCCCATCTCCTAGAACTGGAAGGGACCTTGAAAGGTCATCGAGTCCAGCCCCCTGCCTTCACTAGCAGGACCAAGTACTGATTTTGCCCCAGATCCTTAATTGACCCCCTCAAGGATTGAACTCACAACCCTGGGTTTAGCAGGCCAATGCTCAAACCACTGAGCTATCCCTCCCCCTAGTTTAAAAAAAAAAAGGAAAACTTTTTGCTAAGAATTACTGAGTTACTAAACGTCCCTTCTATACCTTGAACTCTTATATTTATTATATGCATAAACATTTAAAATCCGGGGCATTAACTATCGAATTGCATTCAACATTTCAGTTGTCATGAAGGCCTAAACTATTGTTAAATTATTAATATGGGCCAAGGCTTTCAAAATAGGGGCTAATATTAGACTCCTAAATCCATATTTAGGCACTGAATTAAATGGCCTGGTTTTTCAAATGCTCTGAAAAACAGCTCGGTGCGAGCTGCTGGCTATTTGGCACATTTAAAAAATAAGGTGATTTATTCAGTTGTCTAAATATGGATTTAGGAGTCTAAAATCCATATTAGCCCACATTTTGAAAATCTTTGCCTAGGAGAGTAGTTTGTAGATTTTATTGCACCCAAGAGGTTCTAGTTTTGTGTAATCAGTTGTAATACATTTGGTTATAGGTAGCAGCTGCTCAAGTGCGCAACATGTTTTAGATCTTTATAACCTGGGCCAGAGATAGGAGGTGGCGTTTGATTAGTCACCGATGATGCATTCTTGGCCATGTTAATATAATGTCTTTCTTTCACTGCAGGCCAGAAGTACTACAACTTTCCATTGATGACTTAAAAGTTCAGATTCCAAAAAATCTGTCCCAATTTCTAGAGGAGATGTCACACTCTAGGTTTCTTGAATGTAGGTACAGAGAAGCTCGGGCATTCTTTCAGGTGAGTGGTAATCAGGTAGTGTTTCCACTGAAATGTAAAGTAGATTTCCACTCATAGGCCTCCATCCTGCAAACACTTAGGTATGTGTTTGATTTGAATGGGTCTACTCATAGGCTTAAAATTAAACTCTTGCATAAGTGCAGCATTGGGGCCTTCGTTCTCAGAAAGTAAAGAAACTAATTTTTTTTTACAATTGAGAGTATAACTAGAACTTTTTTCTCTGAATAACTAAAGATGTTTCATTTGTTTGGTTTTATTCTGGCTGCATTTGTCTCTGCATTTGAAATCATATGGAGAATAAATAAATGGTCATATATAGATTTACACACACTTTAAGACCCCTCTACTCTGTCAGAGTTGTATAAAGCAGACTTAGAGTAAATGAGAGTCCCAATTTTCTGGTAATTTTTTAATTTTGGTCACAGTAGGCTTGACCATGCATTACAGCACGTTTGTAGGGTTATGCTTAAATTTGAGAGTACATTCATTCAAAATCCCCTTTTTCAGGGGCTTGTAACTTTTGAAGTGATTGATTGGGTTGAATCTTTTTAGAGCTTGTTCAGAGTAAAGAAAAAAAAATTTTTGTTTTGGAAAGTTGGTACCAGAGTTATCCCAGTGGAGATCTTTTGTTGTTAAGATGCTTTTTTGTGCTCTGATAACTTGAAAATGCACTGCTACTTTTAAATGACTGTGCCTCAACTGAAATTAGTGTAAACTTGTAACTTCACTACACTATTTTAACACTTGGTGGCACCAGACAAGTTGTAAAAAATGTGCTAAAAATAACCACAGTGAGCCCAATTCTGTCCCCAGTTGGTATCCATAAGAGTTTTGTAATTGACTTTAGTGAGAGTAGGATCAGGCTCAATATGCATTATTGTTGCAAAGTTGTAAGCTTTGCAGAGGTTTAATCACAGCATTTACATACACCTCTACCTCGATATAACGCTGTCCTCGGGAGCCAGAAAATCTTACCGCGTTATATTGAACTTGCTTTGATCCACCGGAGTGCGCAGCCCAGCCCCCCCGGAGCCGCTGCTTTACCGAGTTATATCCGAATTCGTGTTCTATCAAGGTAGAGGTATATTTTGTTTCTTTAATATATACATTCATCTTTTTGGTTTTGGTGTGGATCATTCCAGTAGTACGTTAATACTGACTTTTACATTTTATGAGTTTGGAAAATGTAACAGAGGATGGTGTATTACAGGGTTTCTCAACCTTTTTCTCTCTGAGGCCCCCCTCGACATGCTATAAAAACTGCAGGGCCCCGCGGGGGTGGAGGGGCTTCGGGGCAGGGGCCTTGGGTATAGGCGTAGTTTGACTTCTATTTAGGGGGGAGGCAGGGGCCAGCGGGGCTCGAACAACCTCTGTATGGTGGGGTCCAGGGAGGGAGTGCCACCTCCACCCCGACTCACCTCAGCAGGCCACCCACCTGTCTGGGTTGGTTGGGGAGGGGGCGGGGGCAAGCAAAAATAATAACTCAAAGGTGGGGAGCTTAGCTCAAAAAATTTGAAAACAGCTTAGGGTGCAGGGAGGGGGTAGTTAGGGACTGTGGTGCAGGGAAGGGGTAGCTCAACTTGCAGGAAGGGGGTAGCTGGGGCTGTGTGCACACGGGGTGGCTAGGGGCTGTGTGTAGGCACGGGGGTAACTCACGGTGAAGGGAGAGGGGTACTAGGGGCTGTGTGCTGTGAGGACTCCCTGCGGTCCCCGTTCCCCAAGGAGTCTGCCAGCCACGGAGCTAGGTCTCCCCACCTGGGGGGACTCTTACCGACTGCCTCTGCCGGAGCAAATGGTAGCTGAGGAGCAGCTTCAACCTGGGGCACCGCAGGAGAGGAAGGAACACTGCTGCTGCCTACTCCGTGGTGCCAGCCAGAGCAGCAGCTGCCCCGCACTGCCCGGCTCCAGCTTCCGCCTCCGACCTGGCCAAGGGGCAGGGAGAGGAGATGGGGGGGGGAGTGTGGAACTGCCCCAGGGACTGCCGTAATCTAGTGCTGCAGGTTGGGCGGGGGGAGCGCAGATGCCCTCCATGTCCCCAACTCTGCTCATAGGCTCAGGCTTCTGCCTCACAGGGAGCACCAGGGCTCGGGGCTCCGGGCTTCAGTCCCACACGGGGTGCTGGGGATCAGGGCTTCAGGCCAGTGGAGCGGGGAGGGGCAGGGATTGGGGCTTCAGCCCTGTGCCGCCCATCTTCAGCCCCACGGGGTGCGCTGGGAATCGGGGCTTCAACCGGCCCCCTTGAAAGGGCTCACGGACCCCCGGGGGCCCCGGAGCCTCGGTTGAGAACCACTAGTTTATTGTATAGGCACTTAAATTTTACTTTTCTCCTTTCACCGTTTGTATTGCCAAACAGCCACAAGATGGTGGTGTGGACATTGTCCAGAGACTAATTACGGTCTTGAAAAAATTGCCCCTTTTTTTTTTTTAAACTAAGTAACGTTTTCAAAATTAAGGTGCATTTATGTCTGAAAGTAGTTTAATGTTCCTTAACCCTTTAGCTGTATCCTGATGATGCCTCTCTTGATGCAGTGGAGTTTAGGAAAAAGGCAAAAGCATTGCTTCATCTGGCTGCCCTGACATTAAATAACTTAGGAGTGAGGTTCTGGCTGAGCAGTGGAACATGCCTTGGTAAAGTATTTGAGCTTATATTGTATTGCTTTTCAAGCCCAGTAAAGCGCCTTTTGAAATCTGAAACATTTAATCCTGTTTAGCTCCAGTGCTGGTGGCTGAGATTGTCAGCTGAATGCATCAGGTTAGTAGGGGGTATCTGATAGGTGTGTGAAGCAGTGCATTAGCACAGTTAAAATAACGTCACTGCTAAGTCAAAATGAGGACTCCACAAATTACAATAAAATAGTATTTGTTTTATTTCCAAGATCCCTTTCAGAAGCCACTTAGAGCCCAGCCATTTGAGATGCTGGACAGGCTTCATATGAAATGTTGAGCGTTTTCATTTAAGTCAGTAGTACTTCAGTACATTGATCACCTCTCAGTAAACTCTCAGCAGCTTGCAGGACCAGGTCACTAATAATAATTTGTAAAGGTACTTGAAAGAAAATGCAGAGGAATCTTGCTTCTCAGTTATCTTTTATTTTAGATGCAGATTTTTCTCCATCCCACACAAACGTGGTGTTTAGTGTGATAAATTATTTATAAAACTTCAGTATAGGGGGGACCATAGAAACCTATTGACTGTACCAAGGTTGAAAGCAATATCCCAAATTCATTATGGATGAAAGAGAATGTTAAATTCCAAAGTAGATTATAGTCATAGATTTAATAATTCTTGTTAGTATTTCATTAAATGTTAGGGTTTATTTTTGCCTTAAAATGGAGTATTATTTTTGTGATGTGCCGTTACCTACGATGTGGCTTAAACAAAAGGGGGTAGGAGGGAAGCATATCTGGTTTCTAGTCTCACCATTTCCCAACAACAGCATGTAGGCACTTTACATCCCAGAAATAACTAGTATTTGAAGTGAAGTAATCCATTTTTAAAAATAGAATTGTGACTCCATAAATATTAGATTAAACTTGGCATAAAGGGCTCAGATCAGGAATAGTTTTCTTTTAAAAATGTAAGTTAGAAAACAATGTAAGTTAGGAGAGAGAGAGGGACCTTTTTTTAAGTGGTGGTAGGCTCCTTCACAATACTCACTTTTCCAGAGGAGACAGCTGGCCACAAGTGGAGTAGCTCCCTATGCTCTTCCTTTTCCAATCCAGGTGTCTCTGTAGAGGGCAGCTGAGTGGCTTCCCCCAAAGATATCTCAGCTAGTGGCACATGAAACTTCGTTCTTACTTAGTTTCAGCTCTAGCTGTATATTCACCATGTCTCTGATTTCGTGTTTTCTCCATTTTTTAGGCTGGTATAGACAGTGTAATATTATTCCCTATAGCAAAGACGTGGATTTGGGGGTCTTCATACAAGACTATAAATCTGATATTATTCCAGCATTTCAGAAGGCAGGACTACCACTGAAGCACAAGTTTGGCAAGGTTAGTAAGTAACAAATCTGAACTGTGAACTTTATCTTCATTATAACATTTTTCTCAAGTTCTAGTTGGCTGAAGGTGTTTAAAAACAGTTTTCATAAGAGAGGATCTTGTGGGCCTTGATCGTGCAAATGTTTGTGCACATTTAATTTACCCATGTGTAAACTCATTGACGTCATACACTTTCTAGGGCTAGGGGAAATGTGTGTTTTGTACAATACCGTTCATAATGGAATCATGATCCTGCCCCTGAATTCTACTCTGTATGTGGGTTTCTAGCTGTGTGTTAGTGTCACTAGAGAACCTTAAATATGAAGGTGGATTGTGTTCTTTTGGTATTGATTTGGCCTGCTTATAGGGGTATCATTCTGCATAGGCTTGTGCTTACAGCCAGGAGGGGCTGGAAGGGCTGCAAGAGAAGTGCCTCAGGGTGCCCATCAGTGACCCCCAGATGGTTCAAGAAATAGCATTGTTAGACTCCAAAGAGTTGATGGCTACAGTGCAGGATCACAAGGGTGGGGTGAAGAGACAAAATCACAGGTCTCGGACAGAGATGCGGAAGACCTCAGAATTAAAAAAAAACATTGTTGATTAAATGTAATTACAAGTGTTTTATCAGGGCTATATACAGCCCCTATGTCAGTGTGTGATCTCACAAACAGTCTTAGGCCTTGGCTACACTTACCAGCTAGTTCGACGGCTGGAAATCGAAGTTCTGGGTTCGACTTATCGCGTCTAGACTAGACGCGATGAGTCGACACCAGAATCTCTGTTT